TTTAGTAGGTATTATAGATTTAAATAGAGACCCCAAATTTCAGCATCAGCCGTTTTCAGCATCAGCTGCGACATTAATTTATAGGATTGGCCTTTTAAGACCTGATAGTAACATTAATGATAATAATCACATATCACTGATCAGGTTTTTCATGATCTGATAAATGACAATGATAACATTGAAAACCTGAAATCTCATTTTCCCTTGGCAGCACTCAAACGATCTCTATACATTTCGGGTTCATTCGATTAATTTTTATTATTTCAGTAAATGAGCCAACTTATTTTTTTTCTTTATTCACTTCATTTTGTTTCCAATAACTATCCTATATTATCTCATATTGTCATTTTGTCTATCAATACTGTCATTAATCATCCTTACATATATAGATCACTCTTTGGCTATGTAAATAGCAAAAATACGGTCCCTGAAAGATCGTCAGTACTGTTCTGATAGGTAAAAAAAAAACAAACCATATTACTATATGGAGAGTCTCTTTTTTTATGCCCCTAAGATTATCAAAAATGGTACACGAATAATTTTCTTTTTTTTTTACCCTATCAGGAACAATGTCATTGTAAATCCCAATATGGTGCGATTATACGTAGTTCCGAAAGATAGGATCATATAATTTCTAAAGATAGAGATGCTAAAAGTTTGTCTATTTAACGTTAAGAAATATCATAGGTAACTTGTAATTAAGGATTGAATGATGATCGTTAGCCCAAAACTTTCGAGATTGTTATTAACGTTAAAGCCAATGGGTAGGTTTTAAATTAAAAAATAAAAAAATAAAAATTTTATGAACGGGTTTAACAAAATCCATGGGTGTTTAATACCATAGCTGCTATATCTGCTCTAAGCGGAAATACTCTGCAATCCCTAACCTCTAATCTTAACTTTAAATTTTATTACCGGTAGCAAAAATTTATATTACCGATAATAATATAATCAAATATATATATATATGGTGTTAACATCATGGAAGTACGGACATTTGGACGTGTCTAATTACTATTTGTGTAGTAAAAGTAAGATAATGATATTATTTTTTTTCAATAACGGAATCCTATCTAGCCATTACGCTCACCAACCTGGTACGTACACATTTTCCAGTTGCTTATTACTATGACCATTCCTAGTCTTTCATTGCGCCTTCTCAATTTTTAATTGTGCCACTTCCAATATTTCATCACGTTTTCCCAGCAGCAATAGTTTACGGTCTTAAGAAAAGTGCCACAACCGCATTAACTATGTAAAGTGAAATTGTTCTTCCGACTTACTATAGTCTAAATTGACTAAATTTGTTGACTGACAAAGCCGAAATTTAAAAGTTGGCTTAGCCGGCTACGAAAAAAGTCAATTTCTTGTATATAGTATGGTCATCGTGATTTCAACGCGGAACGGAAAAGCATTTGAACATGAAAATTAAATGTTTGAAATTCTAATAATTTTTTGCAGGCCTTAGTTTTGATGCAGAGTTTTCGTGATTGCACTTCCGTGATTGCATTGTAGACCTTACGAACAATCAGAGCACAAAATTTATTGTAAAATTTCGGAGATTTCCGTCTACGTAAGACAATTTCCGGCTCGACTTTTCATCGGTCGGAAATTTACGTTATTTAGACAAATTTCATTGGCTATTATATTTTAACCTCCGATTAAAAAGAACATTTGCCGGCAAAAAAGCAGGTTATATCACCCGGAAATTTTGTGAAATGGACGTTCTCTCATATATTCGATAAAGAATTTGATTGGCCAGTTTAGTCAGACAGATCAATCAGATTCATTTAGTTCATTAAGGGAAATGCTTAAGAACGTAATTCCTATAGGCATAGGTTTCATGCGCACAAGATAATTAGTCAAAATTATTTAGGTCTAAAATGTCAATTTGTATTAATAATTATCGTTACAATTAATTGTTTTTTTAATATGTTAAATTGACTTTCATCCTTAAAAACGCGCAGTATTATCATTTGTCTTATGCTGTATAAAAGTGAAATGCTAGACTTTAAGGCAAAAAACACTTGTATCTCAGTGAATTTGATGATTTTACTACTATCAGAATTAGGAAAATAAACTTACAATTTTTGTTAAAAATTAAGAGATTTGCTTAATAAAAATTTTTATATACAAAAAAGACCTATATATATATTATAGAAAATTTATATTTTGTTTATTACAAGATTTGCTATTTTTTTTTTTACTTTTCAAAAACAAATTACTTCTTAAAATATTTATTATATAAGGCCACGCAATTTTAATTTATTGGTTCACGCAACATGAACCTTTTTAAGTAGACCCAGCCGGCTAGCTTTTTTTTTTTAATTTTATATATAACAATTTATAAAATTTTTTTATAAAACTTTTTTAAAAATTCACCTGGTTATTACAGCTGTTTTTATAAATTCTAACAACCGAAAATTGCTGATGACCGAATCGATAAGTTACTGAATCAGAATCAATAAATAACCAACTCGATCAAACTTTAAAACTTATCGATTTGGTCATCGACAATTTTTTTCAGTTGTTCCAGAATTTATGAAAACAGCTATAAAACATATGAAAAATTTTTTACAAAAATTGACCCGACTGGCCTAATAAAGATTTTATAATTTATTATATTAAATACCTAATGGAATGGATTTACCTATACTAAATTTAGTACTTTGTATATACTAAATTAGAATAGCATAAGGTATCCACTCTATACATATAGAGTGTTATAACAAGACTGGATGAAATTAAGAATAATCAAGGTCCACTTCGGAAAACGGTACAGTTACAATATACTATAAATTTAGAATTCGAATTCATCTCTGATAAAGGAAATGGCCAAGGTGGTGATGCAGGTTATAATGATATGAAATAATAACAATATATATTTTATTTTTTCATTTGTATTTTTATTACATAATAAAAAATATATATTTTTATTTTATATTGTCATTCCGGCAACAATTTTTTATGAAATAAAGAGGGGTCCGCTGGACTCGTCACTTTTATTTTTACGCGATTTTTTACAATGTAGTTTGCGATTATTAATTAGTGGAGACTATTGAGTTAACTTTATTAATCTATATTATTGCGGTTGCTATTGGGATTCTAGTATCACGCGTTAATATGCGCTAATTAAATAATCAGAATTTTTAGAAGTTTTTTTCTCGCTATTTAAATCATAATAACCTTTATCACGTTCACCATATTCATTATATCCACCGCATCCACTATATCCATCGTCATCCGATTCATTTGGCATCTCTTCTTTAGAATCATTGTTGTGACTACAGTCATTATCATCATGCGAAAGTGCCTGGTTCAAAGAACCTCTTTGGCCCGGCTCTACCTTATCTAATCATGAAGCAACCTCTTTATGTCTATGGAAATGGATCATGTGACCGAAATTTCTGAGATGGCCCATCCCGGAAAAATTTTAACCATACCTAAAGATTCATCATCCACACCACCTAAGGCAGAGATCAATATCGACTATGATGATATATATTTTGATGAAGAATTTGATTATGATTCCACACCTCAAACGACTCTAGCTAAGGCAGGATATCATGATGATGTGTATTTTGAAACTTTTCCAAAGATATACCATAATCTATAATCTCTTGAAATTGCGCATCAGTAAGCTCTGAAATAGAATTCGCGCTATATGAATTAATATACTTAATTTTATCTAAACCCACTTTTTCGAATAATTTATAGTTTTCTTACGCAAGCTATCCTGTGATACATCTCTAAGTTGTAGCCAATTCTTGCGATCCTCCTTGGCGGAGCAATCTAAGCTGTTCTGTAATAGAATCATAAAGTATGCTTCTCGCCAAATTTTCCACCATTGCTTCTGATAATCTCATCAAGCTGATCTCTGAAATCCCTTCAGTAGAGACACCAACATAAAATTTCTTCCTGATTAGCTCGATTTGCCCTATCTTCAGCATCAATAGCTTTGTCATATAACTGAGCTAGATGTTGCGAGACTACATCAATGCCATCATAGGTAACTTTTTTACATGTAAAAACATCAGTCACATTATTATGATTATAGAAGATGAAATATCTGAGAGGTTGAATAATTCATGCTTGAGTTCATTCATTCCTTTTTTCTTGTGCGATCTATTACATGGCTGAATAGCCGAGTTGAGGTTATAAGACGTTTTCTCTTTAGGTGGTATTGGATGAGACTCTTGGGCTTGATATTTCTTTTCCCGATTTCTCTGCCTAATATTATCACTAACCTTTTTTCTTATGTACTTCGTCCAAGAAAGCATCTATCTCCATTTCCTTTGATGACTTAGAGCTGGGAGGTGAAACTTCTGATATCGCTTCCTTGGCTAGTGAAGTATTCATTTCCTCACCCCATTTGCTCTCTAATATTTGCTCTGTAACAGAGATGAACAATTGTTAGGAGAATTAGTTACCTTGGTAACATTACAATTTTGCATTTGCCTGTAATTCTTCTCCAATTTTCGCAACTCTAACTTTAAGCTCAAGCTTAGTAATAACTCCTTTATTTTTTTCTAACTCCTTGATTCTGGCCTTAAGCTCAGCATCTCTAGCTTCAAGTTCAGCTTTCTCGAGCATAATCTTAGCATTTTCAGCCTCTAGATCAATAATACGCTGTCTCATTACTTCAAGCTCGAATGTTAACTGACATGATTAATAATAATTTTATATATGAAAGGAATTGTTCAATGTTTAAAATACCAAAAAATTTCCGGGATGTCTCAAGAAAAAATTTTTATTAATATGGTAGATAAATAAATATTAATATAAAAAATATATCGCTCAATTGTGATCTTAAGAATAGCATTAGAAAAACAATAGACAACTAGTCATTTTAATCCAGCAAGTATAAAACACTAAGAAAAATTTTTGATTATATACGAGTTAATATTAATATACATCAATAACAATACAATGAATAAATTCACGAAATACACATGCAAAAGTAAACGCAATTATTTATGCGAATTCAGCCACCAGAACCAGCTTTATAATAAAAATAATTTACAGGAATAGAATCATTCTTATTTCAATTTTCTGCTTTTTTCTTGTTTAATCTTCCAGTATCATGTGAAGAGCTTCTTTTACTAACCTTCCTGGATCTTTTCTGAAAACTGTTAACAAGACAATGTAAGTTCACAAAAACTCTATTCTAAATAATGAATTAAAATTTTGAGTGATTCGGTCAAATTTAATCTTATAAAAAAAATACTTACCTATAAAGTTAATAAAGTAAAAACAAATTCTTCAATTTCATTAATTGACTCCATGCTAAAGGGTACTTTTGCTTTAGCGATTGGAAAATAATATTTAATCTCTTTTCTCATATAAGTTCGTGGATTACGAGATATTCCCATTATTTTTTACACTTTTTTGAGATCTCTTCATATTCATCAAGACAAAGTTGTACTAATTTATTATGATTATCAAGTATTTTTTATCACTGGCATTCCACTCGCCACTTTCAAAATACACAAGTTCCTCCCATCTTTGTCTATAATATAATCGTATTATGAAATCTAGTTTGTCACCTCTAGATCCTTTATTATTTTGAGCTTTGTGATTTTTACTCATGATACTTTGTCGCTTAGCTTTTATTACATCAATTTTACATTTTACAGATAGGTGGTATATGGTAACATCTATCAAATGAGATATAATTTTCATAAACGAATTTCAGAACCTCTAGAAATTTTATAAAGTGCATTAAATCTTATATCCTATAAGAGAACATCAGAAACAATCTTCACTATATATTCTCTTTCATGAACCTCTCAATTGTGTTCCAAATCATTAGTTGAAAAATTGAGTAGTTGAACTAACCGATTTGAAAATTTTTTAATCAACTAACCGATTTATAATCAACTATATAGTTCAATTACAGTTAATTATTAGTAGTAATTTACATCTGATTTTTACCACTTAGGTATGTATTTGTAACCAGGGATGTATGTTACTTGATATTTGGACAATGTTCAATTGTTCAAATAATTTTATTGGACATAGTAACTTTTTTTATTGGATATTAAAAAAAAATTAATTTAATCTTGACCTAAATTAAACTTAATTCAGGCCAATATTTACCAATACAAAATATTTCTAATTTTCAGCATATTTAAAAAGTATACTGATAATACAGTTGTCCTCCCATATAATTACCCTACTGTAAAATTTAGACACGTGTACCCCCTATGCAGTGTACCCCTCGCCATTTTGAAGTGCTAGTTTGTAACTTATACCCGGGTATTAGATATGTTTTCTAATAGCGTATCGTTATGTACTAAATCTAATATATACAAAGTTGTAAAAAACTGGTTTTTAATTGAATTACAATTAATTCATAAGCATGATAAAAACAAGAACAACTGATTTAGCGATGCATTTTATATGAAAGACTCTGCGCATAAGGGATTTGTCCGCACATGTGATTATCAATGCATTTTTTATTAATCGTTAAATTTACGACATGCATTAGAATTATTATAAAAGAGCAATAAGGTAAAATTTCACCAAAATTTTTAAAAGTTGGTTTATTATATAAATTTTTGACATACCGGTATAAACAATTTTACAATTATCACATGTACGAACAAGTCTTCCTACATTCTAATACTGTTCTGGCCTAATATAGCGAATTCAAGTTTATTTATTCTATATTCAATACAACTCTAATTCTATATACACTTTTATCTTAGTAAAGCGCAAATATTGCACTTGATAAAAACAAATCAACATTATTTAAAAAAAACAAAAAAAAAAACAAGAAATTTAACCATTATTCCCAATTGTTATCAGCCTCAGTTTCCTCATACTCCTTACCACTAATATCATTTGTATCCAATTCTTCGATATTTTCTTTATTCACATTTTCCGAATCTTCACCCAAAGCTTTATAATCAAACACCAAATCATCTTCAATTGCTACTGAGATATCGCAACACTTGAATGCCTTTCTAATTATACGAGGATTAGTTTTATCCTATAATTCTCCTACACATTGAGCTAAAGTAGAATACGATAGCTTTTGGATACATCTAGCAGGCGTAAATTGATGAGGGTTGTTGATCATCCACTGGTTATAACAAAAGTGCATCTATCATTTAAAACTCTATTAGTACACTTTATGAATAACAAAAAAACTATTTTAATATACTATATCTTTTTCTTAAAGCATTTGTTTATTGCAATATCAAGAGGTTGCAATTTACTAGTTAGCCCCCAGAATTACAGCGAGATGGGTATTGTTTTTGTAGAATTCCTGCTTAATGGGATCTACAGTATGACCTCTAAACGAATCCAAAACAAGCAGAGATCGGGATCTCTCAATTCACTATGCTTAGACCACACATTATTGATCCAATATAACATCTCTTCTTCATTACATCACCCTTTTGCATTTACATGAATAACAATACCTTCAGGAAAAATTTCATAGAGAACATTCTTTAATTTAAAGATACATACTGGTAGGAGCTTTCTTCTATCTGTGAAGTATTCCAAAATTACAGTAAAAGAGGTCCTCTTATATCTAGTTGTTCAGATACCTATTGTTTTGGCCTCATGTTTATCAAGAGTTACTAGGTATGGCAAGTCAAATGACAAAGGAGTTTCATCTATGTTTCCAATATAATAGATATCATAATTGTATTGGTGGCGTTTAAACAAAACTAAACTTAAAAACTTATTTTGTAGATTAATAAGTTTTTCAGGAAGATGCTGCGAAACTGTTGTGCATTAACAATTTGATAACTTATTACAATACAAAAATCCACATAGCCAACCATTAGAAAATTTAAAATCACCAATATTAGGATGTGCATCCTTTATCTCATTAATTTGAACTATTTGTTTGGCCCTTCTAACTACTATTTTTCATGTAATAGCTATCTGCTTATTATGAAGAGTTTTAATCCAATCAACCAAGAGTTAAAAGGTAAGGTGTGGAATTTAGAAGCTCTTGTTTCTTGCTTCGCCAGTCACGAACTTGTTTAGGCTCAATATCAAATCGCTTTGCAGTCGCTCTCACATTTTTAATACATTCAAAATAATAGATTACTATAAGTTTTTCGCAAACACTCCAGTTATGCTGAACCTTTTTACTAACAGTACAAGCTTTTTTTGTAATATTTTTATTACATGGAGACATTTTTTTTAACATGTTCTGGAGAATTCATGTTTTTAGATTTTTATTTAAGGGGAGTATTGCACAACATGTTAAGGGAAAAAATAAAGTTCAATTCATATCGACAATAAATTCATAAAAAAATAAACAAGTACCATATAAAGAATGAAATTATTTAAATTATAAAGAATATTTTTCATTAATTCGGGCATATTACCTATAAATATTTTGATACCATGAGAAAGGATTTAAAGAGATTTAAAGGTATTTAAAGAAAAAAAAAGAATTTAGAAATTTAGAAATTAAATTATTAAGAATATTTTCCATTAATTAGGGCATATCATCCATAAATATTTTGATGCTATGAGAAAGAATTTAAAGGATTTATAGAAAAAAAGAATTTAAAAATTTAGAGTAAAAAGAAAAAAAAGAATTTACAGGAGAAAAAATCCAAGCCAAATTGCTGAGCCGTTTGGGTAGCCCTACATCAGCAAAAATAAATAGGAGTAAACCTCCGCAAGTTTTTACGCAAGCGTAAACTTACGAAAATTTACGATTAGTTCGGAGTATTACGTAGGTGTAATAATTACGAA